TCGGTACGAGTCTCCAGTAGCAACAGAGAACCGCAGTGGCCTCACCAGTATTGTACATATTACATCACTATCTCAGTATTGAACATCACCATCTAACAAGCGGGTTGGCCAAAAGTGGAAAAAAGCCACGAATGAAGGCGCAGTATTAATAAAACGTTATCGATCGATGTCAAGAAAGGAGTGCCAAGCTATTGTGGGGTAGTTGTGGGAGTTGTTTATTCGCGTTGAAATTTGGTTTGACCACTCTCGAGAACTTTTCCTTCCCTCCTCTTGATTGACCAATACACGAATGATTGCGGAAGTCCCGAAGTATAGTCTAATTACACACAAAAAAACAGAAACCTCTGAAACTAAGATTCAACCGTCAACGGAAGGTAGAACCTGCCGATGCCTAGAGTGAGTCCAACCACTCAAGGAAGAAAAGAAAAAATAATGGCAATGAAGCGGGGGACAGGCGGACACCAAAACACAAGTAAGCGAGTAGAGATGGTTGCCCCTTACGGAGCTGATACACACAAAGCTTTGCACAGATACACTTCAGTAGAGTCGCCACATCTATCTTCATGTATCTCCTCGTACCCCTAGAAGCCGGCGGCTGTTGGTCATGGGGTTTAGTTTTTGTCGACGAGATGCCGGTTGATGTTTTTCTTCGGCATGAGAATATCTGGAAACAACTACTGTAGATTGAGAAGAATATTATCATTATCATTAGAGAGATCGAACGGCAACATGCATGCACCCCTAAGAAGCATGATCATCGATCTCGTTACGGTCGCTGCTCTGTCATGAGCCCAATTTTTTTTTGCATCCAAGTTTTAACCGTTTCCTCCCGTTCTTTCGGCTCGCGGACGGGAATAATGTAGCCGGCACGACCCGAGAGTCTCACGCCACGCAATGTGCTGTGTTGAGAGCTACAACCTCTGGACCACCGGTAGTATTCTTCCGGAAATCAGGCTTGTTTGCTGCTCACGGGCAGCGGGTTAGACAAAGCATTTTGTTTTTCAAAGCGGTTTCTACATTATTTTAAATATGTCCCAAAGAATCCATCTCTATCTGGGAAAAGAGTCGAAGATAGACTACATGTATTTCCACGGTTTCCCGGGCAGCACACAGCGATATCTCCCCTGTGGGTAACAGGCTCAACAGGAAAGTTTGGTAGCCGTCTTGTGCATCTATCTGTATGTTATGCTTCCTTGATTGCAGGTTCCGCTGTAGCAGTGTTCGAAGTTACCCCCAGCAGCTTGCCACGATTGAGTTGTTCTGCCAAATTCACACTACAGCAGTAGCTCACGTTCACCGACGATCATATTTCTACTATCAAATTGGGTGATGATTTTTGGCGTGCATGTGTCCAACGGCTGCTGTATGCTCAGCACCTCATCCCGCCACACACACATACATGCCAAACTTACGTTCTCTACGCGCGTGTGTG